GAAACCAAGGCGCAGAGGCCCGGGGCAGCCCTGCTCTCCAGCCTGGGCACAGCGTGAGGGAAGCAGGCTCCGTCCCTTGGTGGCCTCCTGAGCCCCTGCCCCCGGCGGCACTAGCAGTGTCCACGTGCACACAAACCATTAACCTACAGGGCCTCCGGGGCAGTCTGCGCTCAACAGGCCCCCACAGGCCTTGTCCCCCTGCTGTCTGCTCGGCAAAGCTGCCACCTCCTCCAAAGAGGAGCCAAGCTGCACCCCCCGCAGCCCCTGTCCCCTGTGGGAGCCCCAGGACTGAGGGTGGGGCAGACATCGGTGTCAGCAAGGTGTACTGCTATCTCCCCATCTCAGAGCCACATCAGGGGCACAGGTGACACCCACGGTCACGGCGGGAAGCAGGACCTGCCACGACTGAGGGAGGGGTGGTGGGAGAAGCCACACTCCCCCGAGCCCACTCCCCACCAGGATGCCTGGGACCAACCCAGAGTGGTGGCAAGGGCCTCCCCCTCCGAGATGGGAATTGGGGGAGGGTCTGGGCCAGGAATGGGCTCGGGGTAGGGGCAGAGCAAGGCCAGAGATGCACCAGGGACTGGACCTGCTGAGCCCTGTGAACACAGGGCCCCTGGCCAGGCACCCGCACCCAAGGGTGAAGTTAACTGAGGCACGGCCACACTCCTACACACACACGCCGGCACCATGCAGGTGACCACTGCCAGGCAGGGTCCCGAGGACAGAGGAACCCCACACCCAGAGGCTGGCTCTCCTCGACCCCACCCCTCAACCCCGGCTGCCAGACCGTGGGCTAGTGAAGAGAGCCAGGCCTGCTCCTCTGCTGGGTCTCTCCCAGCCAGCAACCAGCCTGCATGAGCCCAGGGGGTGCCCTGAGGCCGGCACCCCACTCCCTACCCAGGCCCAGCCCGTTCTCCCGAGCCCACACCCCCTTCCTTCATCCTGTGGCCAGCATCTTGCTGCCCTCCTCCCCTCTCCTGGCCCAACTGGCCCAGCTGGCCTGTCGGGGGGTTGGTCACACCCAGGAGGAGGACCACAAGCCTGGCTGGGTAGACAGTGCCCGCAGCACAAGATCTAAGAGCAGGACCCCACGGGGGGCTCTGCTAGACCAGCTCTCTGCGGGCAGGGCTGCAGGCTGGGCAGTGCACGAGCCAGCGGCATCAGGGCGAGTGGGGGTCACCCCAAAACAGCTGTGCAGACTCAGGCCACAGCCTTAGCACAGAGCACGCAGTCTGAAGACAAAGTGGGAGGCTGCAGGCCCAGCTCAGTCAGACCTGCTTCCTGGAGTGGGGCTGGTTTTTCAAACTGTCAACCTTCAAAAAATCAGCAGAGTGCGCATCACAGACCAAATCTCTGAAAATGCAAATTTCTGAGCCACACTGGGCCCACCGGCCCCAGCACCGATGGCTGGGGCTGAGCTGCAGCTGCTTGGGGTGTCTGCCTGTCACTCAGGAAGTCTGTCCATCTCTGGGGACACCCACTCATGCTCGGGACGTCTGCCCGTCACGCAGGACATGTGCCCACCATCCCTACAGCCCCACGCGGCCTGACTGCCTCCTCACCCTTTCTGGGTCTTCAGTAGCTTGATCTCGCTCTCCTAGGGACACGGGGACACCGAGGCCCAGAGGGCTCGCCTGGGTCCCACAGCAGGTCAGTGCAGGGCTGGAACACGAGCTCCAGCGTTGGCCACCCAGGCGAGGCTCCCTTCTGCCCCCGAGGCTGCTCCGGCCCAGAGCACACAGCGTAAGGTCACCAGGGAAGCAGCCCAAGGTCACTCCCCAGAGATGGGCGCCCCCCTCCCCAAGAAGCGGGAGAAGGAGCCTAGGCCGGGGTCTGACCCGCACTGACCCAGGCCTCCGCCCTCAGCTGTCATCTAGACGCCCACACAGCCCCTGAAGGCGTCGCCACCCCTCAGGTGCCAGGCCCCGGGCTGGACGGGGGCAGACGCAGCGAAGTGGACACTGGACAGGCGCAGGCCCTGGGTCCACAGCCGCTCCCTAACCTTCTAACACAGGAAGGAGCAGGAGAGGCACCAGACGGGGGCCTCCGGGGTCTGCGTGGGGCTGGGCCCTGGAGGACAGTCACAGTTCCCCCCACTCCCACGCAGAATCTGACCCTCAGCCAGGGGAGGCGCCAGGCCACCACGGCCCTGCTGGCCCTACCCGGGATGGGAGGGGGGTGGAGCCTCACACCAGCATTTGGAGGGGAGCCCTCTGCCCACTCCCAGGCCCTCCCAGCCCAGCAGTCCCCCACTCCACCCAGAGCTGCCCCCACAGGGGGCCTCATCCCCGTCCTCCAAGCTTTCCCCATAGGGGGTGGGCGGAGGGTCAGCCGGCAGCAGGAGCTTCACCAGGCTGGAGGAGGAAGACGCGCCACAGGGCGAGTCAGGGAGGCTTCTCGGAGCGGGTGGCAGGGAGGCGGGACCTCTCTCACCAGCTGGGTGAGACGAGGAACTCTGGTGAGGGGCCTGCATGGCCAGGCGGCCCGCACGAGCACGGGAAGGGTTTTCAAACCGTCCCCTCCTGTCTGCTGAGTGGGGCTCAGACCTGCACGTCGACCTGCCGTGGACAGACGCAAGGCCGGGATGCAACCCCCACCCCAAAAAGAACATCTCAGGAAATGGCACTGTTCCTGCCTCCGGCCCCAAATCAGGGGTCGTCCTTGATTCCCCCATCATCTAATCCACACCACCCATTTCCCACCCCCCGCCACCTGACCTCTGCCCTCTCGCCTGGTCACCTCAAAGTCTAGCTCACAGGAAGGGCCCAAACGTTTGTGGGGAAGAACAGACTAGTAACAGGACAGACGGGCGGGCAGATGAGAGGACAGCAGAGAACATAGTGGCAGGAGAGTTAGGGGGTAGGCAGCCGGCCAGGGGCAGCGGGAGGAGTCTGCAACATACAGGGGTCCCCGGGGGTCAGCAGGAAGGAGGAGTGGGGGTGATGAGGGCAGGGAGCGCAGGTGGGACTCGGGGCCCAGCCCAGAACGGGACACCCACCCTCACAAGTCATGTCCCCTCCCAGGCTATGAGGGGCCAGTGCCACCTCACAACACACTGCCTGGGTGGCACATGGGCTGGGGAGTAAGAGCAGGCGCACGGGGACATGGGACCCTCTCTCCTGGCCTGAGGCTGCTGAGGCTGGGGCACCCAGACTTAGGGCCCCCACAAACCACACTCTCTACTCCTCCACTAGGCCTTTCTCTGCCACCACTCCCATTGTACAGATAGGGAAACTGAGGCCCGAGGAGCTCAACGGACTCGCTCTTGGAGAGGGACACAGTGACAGGGGAGCAGAATCAGGTTCAAACTCAGCTCTCTGGATGTCCCACTGGGCCTGACACCCCATTCCCCCAGACTCTTCAGAAGGCACGCACCCTGAGTGGCAACGTGAAACTCGCCCAGGCACCGGAGGGGCACTCCTGCCCGAGCCTGGCTGGCCACTGGATGCCCCGGTAAATGGGGCAGGGGCCCTGGCAGCCCTGAGGCCCAGGCATCTCCTGGGCCAGCTCTTAATCTAAGAGTCAGTCAACAAACATTTGCCAAGAGGTACAGGTCCTAAGTAGGAGACTATTTTTGTGCTGCCACCAGGCACAGAGGAGAGGAACAGGGGCCAGGGCAGGGGGGTAGGGTCCCTGACACCAAAGAGGGTGATGAGGGGAGGCAGAGAGAGAGGACCTGCTGGAGGGGCTCCAGGCACAAGAAGCAGGACTCCTGGGGAACAAGCAGGGTGAGCATGGGGGAGACGACCAAGAAGCCAGGGGGGTGAGGTGGCTTTGGGGGAAGCCAGGTGGAGGGTCTCCCACAGACCACAGGCCCCTGCAGCCTCCTCACCTCCTTCTCAAGGCCCAGTGCACTGTCCTCCCTACAGCTGCCAAAGTGAGCTCTGAAAACCCTCAGCTGACCACATCCTGGATCCCCTGCTTCGAGCCCTCTGCAACCCCCCTGGTTGCATCTCCACTTCTTTGCCTCCCAATCCAGCTCCTGCGGCTTCCCAGCCTGCTCCGCTGAGGAGCTCCTATACATCCCACAAAACCCAACTCATGACACCCACTTTTGCCACACCTCCTTGTCCGCTCCATCTCTGTCTGTGGGATCCTGGGGGGGGGAGGGGGACAACCTCACGCCATCTGCTGGAGGGCATGCGTGAGGAGTGGCTGGGAGCTAGCCAGCTGGGATCACCAGAGCTTTGGGAAGGAACAGGTCTAGAGGAAGAGGAAGTCTGGAGGCAAGGGGGTGGCTGGCCAATCCCCGCCCCAGGGAAGGAGGGAGGGACTCGCCCGCTGGAGGCACCTGGATGTGAGGCTCGTCCATCCCCCACTGCCCTCCCTGAGCGACTGAGGGCGGTGGGGCTGGAGGCCATGGGCAAGCAGGAAGGTGAGGGGCCTGGGGCGCAGCGCCCGTCCTGCCAGTGCCTCGCAGAGCCCCTCCCTGGGTGCAGGGCACGTGAGTGAGGAGAAGCGAGGCTGGGCGGCTCCGCCAGCTCTGCAGCTCAGCACAAACATGCCCCAGGCCTGGGCCCCCGGTGGTGAGGAGCCCCCCTTCCCTGCAGCCCAGGCCCAAAGCCGGCACTGGGCCAGGCCGAGCAGCCCTGCCCTGCCCTCAGGAGCCCTCGGGCAGTGCCCCGGGCGCCAGCGAGCCAGGCCTTGGACCGGCCCCAGTGTCCTCGCTGCCTTCCAGGAAAGCGGGGTGGGAGGCAGCAGCAGCTCTCCACACCCGCAGGGCCCCAGCCAGGCAGCCACACCGGCGGCCCACACCACACCCGCTGCACACCAGGCCTCGGGCCCCACATCCCCCGCCCAGGGGGTCCCGAGAGGCCGTACCCTCCACGCCGAGGGGTCATCGGGCCCTGGATACCCAGCGGGGCCGGTCCAGGAGCCCCGGGGAGGCCCCTCCAGCCCAGCAGGCTTGGGCACGGGCCCTGGCAGCCACCACCTGAGGGCGGCATGCTGGCCGGCTCCGGGCCCCCCACCCCAGGCCCAGCCCCGCGGCCACTCACCTCGTTTGTGCAGCCAGCCCTCCTTCACGATGGCCACGTCGTTCATGGTGCCCGGGCTCCGGCTGGCCAGGCGGCCCAGGTCTCACTCCCGCTCCTCTCTCAGCAGGGTCTCCCCGAGCCCAGCCGGTGCCTCTGGAAGAAGCAAAGGAAGCGTGTGAGGCTGTGTCCGGCTGGGGGCCGCTCCTCTGGCCCTGCAGGCAGCCCAGGAGGCCCATCGTACCCGGGGTCTCAGCCCGGGTCTCCCTTCCCCCTTGGCCTGCCCACCTCTTAGCCTTCAGAGCACAGCCGTCCCATCGCCTTCTTCCCGCCATGGCACTTGACATGAAGTTCCCGTTACTCAAACTGCTCCCTGAGCCAGGGCCTCTCCTCGACCTGGGCATCAAGGCCCCTGCCATCACCCCTCCTGGACACCCAGGCCCTCAGAGCTCACTGGCCCCCCCACCTCCCCCATTCCCACCTCCCCTGGCCTTTATACACTCCCATCCCCAAGAGGCCCTCCCAGCAGATCCCAGCCTCCCTAACCTGCCAGCACAGCAGCGGCCACCTCCTCCAGGCAGCCCCTCTGACTGCTTCGGCCCACGCCCCTCAGCATCCCCAAGTCCCTGGAAAGGGTGCCCCTGTTTTCCCTGTCTGTGGTACTCCCACCCACGGGCTGGGGTTCCCGGGGCAGGGCCCTGGCTCCTCCTCCCTGCCCCAGACTGGGAAAGGAGAGAAATTCAAACACAAAGAAGGCAGGGCCAGGAGTGCAGGCAGCTGGCGCAGATGAGAGCCAGAGCCCTCCAGGGGGACACGAAACCCCTCCCCCAAGAAACCCCAGGCCCCTCCTAAACCACAGCGCCCCTGCCGGTCTGAATCTGGTTCATTCATCGGCCAACACGTACCGGGCATCTCTGGTTTTGCCAGACTCAGGGCTGGGCGCGGGGGACAAAGAGAGGCTCAGACGGGTCCTGTCTGTAAGGAGCACCCAGTCCAGGGTGGTTACAGACCCATAATTACAGCATTCACGAGGCCAAAAATGGCGGGTGGCACTGCAGCAGCACAGAGGTACTGGCACCCGCCCTGCAGTGGCCCACCAGCCAGCCCTCACCTGAGCAGACACTTTGGCCATTGATCCTGCACAGCCCTCCCCATTGCTCCCCTGCTGTACGAACTCCTAGGCATCCCTCAAAACCCAGTTCCCACATCACCCATTCTGGGCATCCTGGGAAAAAGCCTTCTTCCCATGAGCAGTCCTCTGCTACCCCTCCAGACGGGCACTCCTAAGGGCAGGCCCAGAGAGACTCCTCTCTGGGACATCCAGGCCAGGCAGAGACCCCTGAGGACCTCTAGAATGGATCCCAACCTGGGTCTTCCTACAGCCGCCTAGACACCCTCCTGAAGCCCTCCTTACTGGCCTCCTGAGGCAGGGGCTGGGCACCCAGAGGGCCGCTTTGCACTCTTAGGCTGACTTTAGAAGGGCAGAAGACCCCACTGCCTTGCGTCTGGTGCCAGGACAGGGAAGACACACTCGCCCAAAGAAGAAAGTGGCTGACATGCTCAGCACGCCCAGGGGCAGCGACGGGCAGCAAGTGAGCCCCGAAGATACCGCAGAGGAGAGGGCTCTGAGCCCCGGGGACAGGGGGCTCTGGTGACACTTGAGTGGGCGTGGCCTGGGGGCAGGGGGCTGGACTCAAAGACCTCTGGACATCCCCCCACCCCCACCCCGGCCTGAGCAGGGCCTGCTGCTGACAGAGTCAGACAGCTGTTGAGAGCCCCATGTGTAAAAATATATCTGTGCACACACATAGGGTGGTGTACGTCTGCACAGAAATGTACACACCAGCCCAGTGCCTGGGCCACCTCTGGGCACACGGCCGGCGGGAGGGAGGGGACCTCTGTTTCCCGCTACTTCTGTACTGTGAGTGCCTTTACCATCAACATGTACGACTGCTATTATTATTTAAGCCACAACTTGTGAAAAAAACAATCTGTGCTGTGAAAGGGTCCCCCCCCCAAAACACTGACTTGTGAACTGTATGGTCAGCTCGGGGGCAGGGAATCAAGCCCCCATCAAAACAACCCGCCCTTCACTTGGATGAAGGGCTCAAGAACAGCAAGGAGGGGCCTGGAGCAAGGCGGGGCAGCAGGAGGGAATGTAGGGGGCCCTTTGGCCACAGAGCACAGCCCACGCCCCCCACTCTGTCCACCATGGCAGTAATTGGGAACAGTCCCGCCCGCCGGCAAACCTGCCCTGGACCCCCCACTCCGGGGGGCAGGCCCCGCCGCCCTCCGGGCCCCAGCTCCGGGATGGCTAGGCAGCACCTCCACGGCCCTCCCAGGTCAGGAAGCAGTTTGCGGGCCCAGGAGGGTGAGCAGTCCTTTGTGGGCTGGCCTGGGCACCTCGCCACCATGTACAACTTTCTGGCCATGGGAAAATGAGGTCTCCTTCCCAGGGCCCACCCATAAACTTGAAGGAGGGCTGGGGCGAGCCTTTTCCTAAGGCCCCTGGGCGCCTACTGGGCGCCGCGGCCGCGCTG